CAACTACACATATATTATACTACTTAACATTTCCCATAGGTCACTGGGTCTCTGTTTTAAATATTTAAAAATATTTTTTTGTCTTTCAAATAGGATCATTTCTATTGATTTATCTTCAAGTTCACTGTCTCTTTCTTTTAAAGTCTCTAATGTGCTGTTAAGCCCTTCCAGCAAATTTTTATTTAATATATTTTAATTTCCAGTTCTATAATTTGCATTTTAGTTCTTTTAGTTTCTTTTTTTATACTTTTCACTTCTTTGCTAAAATTGTCTGTTCACTTATCATGAGCATCTTTTCCTGTAAGTCCTTGAGCATAGGTATAATAGGTGCCTAAAGTCTTTGTCCCTCATCAGAGTCATCTCAGAGTCGCTATTGACTACCTTTTCTCTGGATAAACTGGTCCTTTTTTGTTTTATTTTTTATTGTAACATTATTGATGATGTAATATTGTAGTATTATTGGTATGTTTCAGAGACTCTGTATTCCATTATCTTTCTCTAAGGGGAGTTAATTTCAGTTCTAGCAGTTAACTTGGCTGGACTCATACTCCCTACTCTGTCTTCCCTGCTCTATGCAGCATCTATAACTTTGGTCAATGCTCTTTTTCAGTAGGATGCTTGCAGTCTCTCATAAACCTTTTTAGTTCAAGGTTTATTCAAGGATTTGGCCAGAGTTTATGCACAACTTTCTGCTATGTGTCTCCTCCTAATAGGAATATGTCCCTCACTTTCCAGCTGTTCTGGTAATCCCATTCTCTATCCTCTGACCCTTCAAATAAGTAAGACCCTGGCTTTCTGTTAGAGTTCTAGCCACCCTGTACTGTAGGGATTGGAAAATGACCTCAGTTGAAAAGTTGTATAAACACAAATCTCACCCAGTACATTTCCTTTCATCAAAATTTAATTGTTTTCAGTTCCTGCCTGCATTTGGTTCCTCTGCATTACCCTCAAATAGTTAATTTATGTACTTAGTTCAGAGTTCATTGTTATACACAGGACTGTTATTTCTATACAAGATACTTTATGTTTACTGGAAGATTTTATTCCCTTTTTGATATATTTCCCCAACAAACTTACTAAGGTGGTGGATTTTCAGTATGGAATGGTACGTATGATAGCTACACTCATTTTTAAAAGTTTATGTTTTGACATACAGCAACTAGAAGGATGTGCAGCTATGACATACAACTATCTACTGGGGCTTTGGGGGAAAAAAAAATAAATAAATAAAAAATTTAAAAAAAAAGTTGATGTTTTGTATTCATCATTTTATGACTTATAATAATTGCTTAATTATATATTTCAACTGAAATTTAATTAATTAATTAATTCAACAAATATGTGTACCTACTCCATGAAGGCACTATGCAAGATATTGATGTTAGAGTTATAAGCAAAGTCAAAAATGTTTCCTTCTCTAATGCAATTTATGATCTACTGGAAGAGAAAGCAATTAATGAAATAATATAACTAGATATATTATTTTGGGGAAAATTATTTGAAGAGAAAAGAAATACAGCAGTATTGGGATAGGTAGCAGTAGGACCTAACTTTGTCTGAGGGGTTTAGGAGAAAAAGACCTCACTGAGGGAGGAATGTATAAACTGAGATCTGAAGGATTGAATGGCCAGTAATTAGGCATTAAAATAGAAGGGCTGGCATGTCCAAAGGCCTTGTAACAAAATAAAGCATGATGCTTTTGAGGAACCAAAAGTAGCTAGTATTGCCACAGAAGAGAGGGTGAAGAGAACATGGTATCAGTTGTGGCCAGAAAGTAAGCAGCTTCATATCTTGTGGTCCATGTTAAGGGTTTCATTCTTAATCATAAGAGCAATGAAAAATTGTTTCATTATTTTAGAAAGGGGTAATGGATTTATATTTGCATTTTGAAAGGACTCATTTAGTTACAATATGGAAAATGGATTGGAAGGAGAATTGGGAATGGGAGGAACTGTTGGGAGCCTACTGCAGCAGTTCAGGTGAGAGTTGATGGTAGCTTAGACCAGGGTCATGGCAGAAGAGAGAAAGAAAGGTGGAAATTTTTGAGAAATAATAGTAGGTAACATTAAAAGTTCTTGGTGATGTATTAGATTTGATGTGTAAAAGAGAGGGAGATGTCAAGAGTGGCTCCTGGGTTACTTGCTTGCCAAATTAGATGGACAGTGAGTTTCACTTATTGAAATGTGGAATACTGAAAGACGCCTAGAGTTCGGAACAAAGACTTTGAGTTCAGGTTTGCACATGTTGGGTTTGACGTGTGATTGCTAGAGCCAAGTAAATATTGAGTGGGCAGTTGGATATATGGAGCTGAAATTCAAAGGAGTGTTCTATGTTAAAGTTATACATTTGGCAACTGGGTAATGAGCACAGGATTGCATCATCCGTAATGCAGCAAACAGGAGTAACATCGATCTCTCCTACAGATATTTCTTTCCTATGGAAAATATATATTCCACACATTCTGCAGTCTAAGTCCAAGGAATTAGGCCATCCTCACTCTAGTGTATGTTAACTCTAACCTTACCAATTACTCCTTCCTCCCACTCTTTCATTTGCTTACAGAGGCAGAGGGGCAAAAAATCCAATTTTTAAAACTTTAATATTAAACTATACAGGAATACCTCATTTTATTGCACTTTGCATTATTATGCTTCCAAGATATTGCTTTTTTTTTATAGATGTTTTAATGGTTTCTAACATTGTGAAATTTTGGGTTGTACATTTTTGTTTGTCCATCACCATATATATGACTCCCTTCACCCCTTGTGCCCACCCCCCACCCCTACTGCCCCTGGTAACCACAGTCCAGTTGTCCATGTGTTGGCTTATATTCCACATATGAGTGAGATCATACAGTGTTTGTCTTTCTCTTTCTGGCTTATTTCATTTAACATAATACGCTCCAGGCCCATCCATGTTGTTGCAAATGGGACGATTTTGTCTTTTTTTATGGCTGAGTAGTATTCCATTGTATATATATACCACATTTTCTTGATCCAATCGTCGGTCGAGGGACACTTAGGTTGCTTCCACTTCTTGGCTATGGTGAATAATGCTGCAATGAACATAGGGGTGCATAAGCCTCTTTGGATTGTTGATTTCAGGTTCGTTGGATAGATTCCCAGTAGTGGGATGGCTGGATCATAGGGCATCTCTATTTTTAATTCTTTGAGGAATCTCCATACCGTTTTCCATAGAGGCTGCACCAATTTGCATTCCCACCAGCTGTGTATGAGGGTTCCTGTTTCTCCACATCCTCTCCAACATTTGTTGTTTTTTGTCTTGGTGATTATAGCCATTCTAACGGGCGTGAGGTGGTATCTTAGTGTTGTTTTGATTTGCATTTCCCTGATGATTAGTGATGTTGAGCATCTTTTCATGTGCCTATTGGCCATCTGTATATCTTCCTTGGAGAAGTGTCTGTTCATTTCCTCTGCCCATTTTTTGATCGGGTTGTTTGTTTTTTTGTTGTTCAGTTGTGTGAGTTCTTTATATATTATGGAGATCAACCCCTTGTCAGATGTATGTTTTGCAAATATTCTCTCCCAGCTGGTTGGTTGTCTGTTCATCTTGATTCTGGTTTCATTTGCAAGATACTGCATTTTTTACAAGACCCTCCACCAGCAAAAAGATTATGATTCGCTGAAGGCTCAGGTGATGGTTAGCATTTTTTTAGCATCTTTTAATTAAGGTATGTACATTGTTATTTTAGACATAATGCTATTGCACACTTAATATACTACAGTATAGTGTAAACATAGCTTTTATATGCACTGGGAACCAAAAAATTCGTGTGACTTGCTTTATTGTGATATTCGCTTTATTGCAGTGCTCTGGAACCAAACTCACAGTATCCTTGAGGTATGCCTGTATTTGTAAATTTGTCTTCAGAAATGAAAATCCTATCTAAGACTTAAGTAAAGGAAGACTTCCAAGTCATAACCTACTAATTTAAAAGGTTTATTATTTTAGATTAGAGCTGCTAAGCTTAAGTTTACTTTTGTATTTTCTATTAAAGGGACAGCTTGTAAAGCAAATGAAAAATGAAAACAAGATAACAAATAAAAGATTCACCTAGCTAAGAGATTGGGCCTGTAAAGCACCTTAGAAGGCTTTGTCCCTGGACCAATGATGCAATAACGTAAGCAAAGTCTAAGACTCCTACACTGATGCTTTGACAGGCTGTTTACAAATCAGTCTAATCTGCTCTTTAAACAAACCTCATTCAGATAATGCCTGTTTGGCATAGTTCCCAAGAAATGTATATGTAGTGGATTTTCTGTTGTAAGATATTGTTATTCTGAATTCTTTATTATTCTGCACATCTAATTTACAGTAGTGATTGATTCTCATTATGATGAATTTTAAGTTTTTTAATTGCCTTCTGAAAAAAGGAAGCATTACCTCATGTTCAGAATAAGGAGAAAGGTAAGCGAAGGAATATCTATTGAACACGTACTCTGTTCCAGATTCTTTGCTGTCTGTCATCAATGCATTGACAAAACAATCCTCATAGCCACCTCATACTTTTGTTATTATTAACTCTATTTTGCCAAGAGATATCCTAAAATTTTCTAAAGTTGTTCAGCTAGTAAATGGTGCATTGGGATTTGAATGATTTAAAAATCCTTTTGTTGTGCCATTAAACCACTCTTTTTCTATTATGGTTTTAGTTTAAATACTCATAATTTATCATTTTTTGAAATTGGTAGTGAAGATGGCTTATATTTAACTCTGGCAAGGAAAATTACCTTACCAAATCTGCCAATTAACTTTACTTTACTAGAAAATACTCTAAAATTTGACTTGTTTGAAAAATACAATAGACTTTTCATTCATTCTTATAGGCATTTCCCACAATTATTATGGAAAAAAGGACAATCTTAATATATTGTTTACTGATATTTCTTATTCACTGATATGCACAGACCTACGGATACACACATCATCCAGTCCTACAGAGAATGTTCTAACCTTCTCTTGGTAATGTTATTTTACAGAAGGAGAACTTGAAGCAGAGTGGTTGCAAGATGTGGGTTTATCAACCTTGATCTCAGGTGATGAAGAGGAGGATGGGAAAGCCCTGCTCTCTACATTGACTCGAACCCAAGCGGCTGCGGTGAAAAAGAGATATAACACTTACACTCAAACCATGAGAAAAAAGAACAAGCAGTCTGTCAGGGATGTCAGAGACGTCTTTGGAGTCAGCGAATCTCCTGTGAGTAACGAACATGGCTCAAAAGATTTCATTTTATTGCAGGGGCGGCGGGTGGGGATGAGGAAAAAATATCAGGAAAGGCTGGTTACCTTTAAGTTTTAGAGAAAACGACAGCAGACAGCACAGCACAAAATTTTACAAATATGAAACTTAAGTGATCACTCCTTATCTCCCATACAGCAATCTCCCTCGACACTAAATTTATTCCCTTCTTTGTTTTAGTTGAGAATAACTTCTTTGGTAATGGAGCAAGTCTTTGTGGATGGGATACACAAAGCCTTTACTTAAATCTAGGTACTAATGGAACTGTGGATGGGCAAAGGAGTCCCAGAGAAGTGTTATAAGCAAGTCCAGGTGGTTTGTTCTAAATGCAGTGAGGGGAAAGTGGGTAGGGTAGTCTTTGTGTTCAAATAAATTAAAATGGTAAAAAGTGAAAGATACCAGCATTAATTAAGTGGTCAAGAGAATGATTCAAAAAGTCATAAGAGAAGGATCACATGTTTTCTGAGAAATGGCTGGTTGAAATTGCAGCTTGCCCTTAGAGTTCCATGACTACAGTTTTAATTCTGAGGCTGTTAGTCACGTTCTCGTATTTCTATATTTGTTTTACTGCTAGCTCTGCCTTATAACTCATTCATTCATTCATTGCACCATTGCAATAATTGCATCATTGAGGCAACGAATACTTATTGGATGCATTCTCTGTGCAAGATTCTATACTAGGCTCTGTGCAGATAGGCTTCTTGGAACTTTGGGGGTAATTAGTATGCAGAAAAAGAGGAAATGATATTCTGCTGCAGTTACAGATGAAGTTGCCTGGGGCAAGGTAGTTAATCACTCTGATTTAGGTTTCTCATGTGTTTAATTGTAATAGCAATAATGACATAAATTAAAACTCAAGGATATTGGGTAGCAAGTGTGGTTGAAGACAGTGTCCATTTGAGTTACTTTAGATTGTCTGTAAGTCTTATCTTCTCTTAGACATATTAATCACATTGGGTAGTTGCTAGGGCAGCTTACATATACCAAGTTAACTTTTGCGTTTGTGCAGTCCTTTAGAACTTTCTAGGGTGATGGAAATGATTATTTCTGTGCTCTCCAATATGGTTGCATCAGTTACGTGTGCTGCTAGCACTTGAAATGTAGCTAGTGTGAGTAAGGAACTGAAAGTTTAATTTTATTTAATCTTAATTGATTTAAATCTAAGTAGTCACACATGGCTTGTAGCTAATATACTGAACAGCACAGTTCTAGAATCTTCTGCCGTATATAATGATATACCTGAAGTAAGCGCATTTTGAGTTCTGAGTTCTTTGAACTTTCAACCTAGTTGAAACCTGTGTCTTTCTGGAAGGTTAGATTTTTTATAGCTGTAATTGAGTAAAGGTGATGCCCACACCTTGAAGCAAGTGTTGCAGCCACATGAGTCCTGGCCAAGATGCCTATCAAAGAAAAGGCTTACCCTGCTGGTTTAAATTCCCTGGGTCATTTTTCAGTTATCTCCCAGATCATCTTGAGAGAGTCCTAAGAACTTTCCCATTTCTTTTTTTTTTCTTGTGAACAAGATCAGCCCTGAGCTAACATCTGTTGCCAGTCCTCCTCTTTTTTGCCGAAGAAGACTGGCCCTGGGCTAACATCAGTGCCCATCTTCCTCTACGTTATATGGGATGCCGCCACAGCACGGCTTGACAAGCTGAGTGTCAGGGCGTGCCCAGGATCCGAACCCTGGGCCACCGCAGTGGAACGCGCGCACTTCACCACTACATCAGCAGGCCGGCCCCCCCATTTTTATTTCCAGCCACTCAGACTAAGATTTTTGCTCTTCCCTAGCAAACTGCAAAATTGGAAAAGTTATAGCTTCTTCTGAATCCTCCAGTTGCTCAGGAAAATGCATAACTAGCTTCTTTAGGTTTCCTAAAACTTTAGACATGTAGTCACGTAGAAACAGTGCTCCTTCCTCTGCTTTCGCTTTGACGCTGAAGGGAAACAGAAAGTAGCACTGACTCATTGGGTCTTTAAGTGTAAAAAGAAATGAAAAGTCTCTTACTTTTCCATAACACGCAGGTGCAATAGACTGTTTGGTGTTTAACTCCGACAAAGGCAGAGAGAAGGCCGCGTTTGTGGTGGGCAGGGAGAATGGCCCTGGGGCGCTTCTCCAGTCCACCTTCCTCTTCTCCCCTCCAGTCTTGCTGCTGAAGCCTCAGCACTAGAGTGAATTGAGAATGGGGGACAAGGCAGGGAGAGTGGTCGTGGTCGCAGGTGAAAGAAGGCCCGTATGTTCTGGGAGTAGAGGTCTTGTGCTGTCCTGAGAAATGGGGCATCTGGACGTCAATGAGAGCCTGGCAATGTGTACACTACTTAAAATTCAGATTGTTCTTTGTCACAAATGTAAAAAGCCATGTGAAGCTAGCCTTTTAAAAAGTATTGTATATTTACAATGTATAAGGCCTAATAAGCATCTTCACAGATTTTTTTCCTAAAAAATTAGCATCTGCTTCTGCCACGTAGAGAGACTTGGGAGTTTCTTAGAAATGTACCTAAACTTTGTTTTCTGTTTGAGTCCGACAGCGTAAAGGCCGGTTCCCCCCTCCCTCCTTCTCTGGCTCAAGTACCTGTCTGCCCTGGTCTGTCTCTGAGTGTGTGGGCCCCTCCTCCTCCTTCTTCTTGCTCTCTCTGCCTCTCTGTCTCCCTCCTTTATCCTCTCCTACTTTTTATTTCTTTCTTTGTCATCATTTACCTACATTAATAGAACAGTTACCTAAAGTTTCCATTTCACTTTCTTAATGAAGATTTAAGATTGTTAAGTTTCATAAAATAGTGTTGCATTAATCTTAGATATATGAATCTGACCTAGTATACTTATCTAGTGAAGATAGAAATTCATTAATTTAAAAGATAGCTGTGTAGATTACACTAGTCCTTTTCTTAATTTTTTGAGCATAGATTCCCATGCTCAAAATAATTTTCCTTCAGAATTTTGCAGAGATTTGTCCGTTATCTTTTCTCAGGCACCATTGCTGTGGGAAAGCTCAGTGTATACATCAGTCTTTTTTCCTTTGTGTACAAATGTGGAAGCTTTTTGAATTTTATGTTTATCGTTGGAACCTTGAAATTTGACCTTTCAAAACATTCCCTCCTGGTCACTACTAAGTGAGCTCTTCAATGGGAGAGCTCCTTCTTTGTTCATGTTCTGCATATTTTCTTCTGACACTTAAAGCAGGTATTTGCTCCCGTCATTTCTCACTTACCTCCACGTGGACCTCCTATAAGATGATTGTTACGTTGTTTGGATTGAATCTCAGGATCTCTTAATTGTTCTCTTGTATTTTCCAAACTTTGTTAGTGTGTGTTTGTTCTGCATTCTTGCATATCCCTTCACCTTCATTTTTTACATCGGTAATTTGGCCATAGTTGTATTAATACTTCTGCTTTTCATTAATTTTTAAAAATTTAATAGTCATATTGTTAATTTACGAAAACCTCTCCATTCCTCAGTTTCCCCTTTATTTTAGTAATCTGTTCTTGTTTCTTGGTTACAGTAGCCTCTCAGCACTCTGAAGGTCCTAAATTAAACCTCAAATTCCAGGGTTCTCTTCTTCTCCTTGAATTATCTGTTTCCTTCAGGGTCATCTGTTTATTTTTGGTTTCATTATTTTTGACATCATTACATTGCTATTGTTCAAATGATTTTGATCCTTGGGTGTTGATTTATATGTGTTAATGGAGGACTAGATTGATTGATTGATTAGTATAGGTACTGGCTGTATGTTTCCTATACAGTTATGTAGACCTGTTTTCTCCCCCAAATTCTCCTGTGAATAGGAGTCTGGGCCTTGTGTGAGTGGTGAAGTGTGCCAATGTCAACCGTCACACTTCACTTTGACACATAAATATGGCATCAATGCCAAAGTAACGAGTCCCGAGGAACCGTAATTTATTTCCTTTTCAGGCAAATGTAACTTCTCTTTTTATACTCCTGTCCGTACCCTTTTAGACGGCCCCAGTGAAGGACAATTCAGCTTTCTTTCTGTCCGGGACCACCACACCCATGCTAGGACAGCCACCACCACCCCCAGGCGGGTGGTCACTCTGTCACCAAGAGGACACTTGTTGGGTTTTACTTTGGAGTCACATTTGGCTGCTGCCTGCTGTCCAGAATTCGAGGGAGGAAAGGTCTCCTGGCCTCTGTTCAGAAAAATATTCTCCCGTTACTTTGGTCATTGTCTTCTTAATTGGGGGATGTCTTCCTGCTCTTTTTATTTTCATTCTGAATATGTGCTTTTTCTGGATCAAGACTTACCTTCTACATGTTTTTCCCTTGTACATTTTTTCAGGCTGAGGTTTTTCTCAACCCTTATCAAAGCATTCTCGTTTACTTTTTATCTTCTAGGAACATCCAACAATTTCTGTTCTGCTAATGGAAATGTTTAGTGCTTTCTAGATCTACTCTTTGAAAAAGGTATTTCTATTGACACTTTGAGTGATTTGCAGGGAGAGGAGAGAGTGGTATGTGCATTTTGCTATCTGTGGATCCAATTTTCTTGTGGTAATTGTTTGGTAGTATTTGTTCATTTCCAAAAAGTGGGGGTTTTTTCCTTATTATAAAAGTAATACAGAATCTTTTGGAAACTTAGAAAAATATGGACAAGCAAGGTGAAAAATGACTATTTCTATGGGCCCAAATAAAATTTTATGATTTCATTAAATATACAGTAAATGTAATTTTCAATGGAGTTCTTAACATAAAGGAACAGAATATTTAACCCTTGTTTCAATAGAGCCGTTATACACTAAATCTCAAATACTAAATCCACCACTGGATACGTAGCACAAGGTCTGTAGTCCTATTCATCATGAGCAGAATTCCAGTGCCCAAATACATTTTTCCAATATTCAGAAGATGTGAATAAAATATTCCTTTCAGTAACACATTTAATTGAGCAAAATAGTCAATCTATTTCCAATTTCATAATTGATAAATACCTAAAGGTGGAACCGAT